GTTGTATGTAAATATGTTGTATGTAGATTTGGAGTTGTAACGAAAGTAATTTCCCCCTGGGATTATTAAAGTATTTCTGATTCTGATCTGATTCTGATTCTGATTAACAGCATCCCTACAGAGATAGACCTTTTTGTTAAATAGTAAGCTCTTTTTTAAACCAGAAACAGCAATGTATGGCACGGCATCAGGTTCCATTGACAAAGACGGTAATTTCACCTTGCAGATCATTGTAACCTCACAACTTCATTAAGCCCTTCCACAGTTCCAGCAATCACCAGCTCTGCTTTGGTTGAAATAAATCTACTACATGTTTACATAGCAAACTCTTGTGTATATATAACTGACAGCAACATTTCTGAACACTGTCTATACCTGCACTATAAAATATTCATTCTGAGATCTTCATCAGACAAATTAAAGTTGAAGGAAAAATCCAGCATTTATCTGATGAAGATCTCAGAACTGAAGTGTTGTGATTGTTAATGTTATTACTTGATAGTTTGATTGAAAGTAAATAGTTTATTATATGCAATACTCTTGAATTACACAAACCACAATGAGTAAATGTATCTGTGGATGGAGCGGTGCACATGAATTGGATTAGAAATGACAACAGCGAGATCAATTGTTCCCAATACAGGAGCTTCTTTTGGCCCTTGAGGAATTCTGCAAAGTAAAAGACAGAAAACCACCAACACCCTCGCCTGCTACCACTAATCGGACTTCATCTGGTGGGAGTACCCATCGTCATGACAACAGTTGGGGGGGGAGTTAGTTTTTGTGGCGATGACTGAGGCTGAGCACAAATCCGAGTGTCTGAAAGTTCTCAAAATGACAACGGTTCTGACGGATTGGAGATTAGATAAACAGCAACCGGGGAAGGTGAATAGTGAGGGTAGGAAGAGAAAACAACAGTTTTTCATTTGGGAAATGTTTGAATGACAAGTTTTCCACTTAGAAAGAAAAAAAGAAAACAAAGTCACTGAAAGCTGAGACAGGTTAAATACAAGGTTTCTCATTTAAAGGAACAGTTAGAAAATCCATTTCATTGCAAGGAAAGCCAATACTGCCATAGGCAAGTTGGGAAATAGAAATCATATATTTAGACATTTTTGTTGATGTATATTACAGAGAAATCAACAACATTACATACAACATACTCAAGCCAACCATTTAGTATGTTGTAGAATTTGAAAGGAACGGCACAGCACACGCCAAACTGTGGCTTCAAACCAAATGAACATACTCAAAAACTGCTGTAGCTGCCAATAGTCTTAATAGAAATAATTTAAGGATTTATTTTAATCGGTGGTTGGTGGTCCAGCTGTGGGTCTGCTGCCAGATTTCTAACGATTGAATCAAATGATACACACCCTGCGGTGACTGACTGAGAAAGGAGGGTGGGGGGGGTCTGCCTGTCTTTAGGGTCAATACCAGATCAGCACAATCAAGGCAGCTCCAGATTCTTTGATGATAACACTACAGCAGAGTAGTAGAGCTCCCCATGTCCCTCGTATTATATAAAAATCAATTAACAACAGCCTGGAACCATTGCTGTGAAATCAAGCAGTAATTAAACATGCTTGCTTTTGGCCTCTCTGAATCACTGTCAGTTAAATCTCTGTGTATGTTACTCCTAATGAGAATCAAGAGAAAATACTGAAAGGAGAGAAGGGTAGAAGGAAAGATGATTTATAATGAAAGCTGCGTGTTAGGGTTTTACTGGGATTATAGTTATAACTATGAATAATGCTAATTGTAGACAAGGAACCTTGTGAAAATGGTGAAAGCTACCAGGTGGTTGAGAGGAATGTTAGATTCCCTTTCATTCCGTCATGCAAATTTTAATTTTAGCACAAAAATGCTCTTTAAAAAAACACATTTCATTTACACTATGAAAATAAAATACTGAAGCAGGGATAATGGAGTGATGACTCACATGTCCCTGTTTCTTTCAATACAGAACTTCACATAATCTAAATGTCTTTAAAAATGTGGATTTTAAAACACAGTGGAAAGTAATACATTTGTTGGAGAACTAGTGTAAAAAAATGCTCCTACAGTCAGGAAAAATGCCCTTCATGTAACTGAAACACCAGCAGTAGGCTGTCCATGTGCATCACTTCAACAGGAACACTGAAGGGTTTTGTCCTTTTAAAAAGGAAAACAGTTTCAGGTACCTGATGTACCACAGATTCAATAAATATGAGGCTTTTATATTAAGTTTTAAAACTAAAAAAAAAAACTTAAAAATGTATTGCCTTTAGAATTACTGGTATACAGGTTTCTCAAATAGACAGTAACAAGTTCAGGAAAATATTAACTAACTGAACAGAAGGATTTCAAGGACTGTTAACGGAAAACTTTCCCTACTTTTTAATAAAATACTATCAATTTACAGAGGAATTTCAGTATTTACTGGAACTGATAAATACTGTAGTAACCAAACAGCTAGCCTGGTTAGCTAAGTAACTAGAAGTGGATTTGTTGTACAGTAAATGTACAATGTAAAACTTTAGCTCACATTGATACATTGTTTTGCTGGAGTCACATGTCTGATTCTTTATAGATGCAAAATAGATAACAAGTGCAACATTAGCACGACCTGTAAACTCCTGTAAACTAACATCATTTTATTCTCAGCTAACGCCAAAGGCAGTGAAACAGTCCTGGATCGTCAATTCATCAATGTGAATAAAGTCCAATCAACACCATTAGCCTTTACTTAACCTGCATAATGTCAAAATTAGTCTTTTTATATTTACATACTAAACAACAAAATCATCTTTAACATAGTAAGACAAGATCATCACCATTTCTCATCAAGGCTTGTTATCCAGAATACTACACAAGGTCGCAACAGAGCTGCAGTCAAAGAATGTCACAGCCATCACATCTCTGACCTGTCTCACCTCCTGTTTGACTGCTTCATACTGCTGCCATCTGCTCACAGGTAGTGTCCTACTGTGTAAATTATATATCTATACAGTATACCCCTCCAACAGCACATTAGACTCACAACTGCACTGCTTTTCTTAAACGTGAAACTAAATCTGTATCAGGCCTTTTTATGTTGTCTGAGTATACCACTTAGGGATAAATAAAGCTCATTGTTCCTTCCACACACTCTAGTATTAAACGATTCTCCAGTTCTGCAGGTGTTTAATTATAAAGCTAATGTAAAAGCTAGGAAAAGGTTGATTTTGCCACAGCCTTTAAAAAAGGAATTTAAAGTTTTGAAGTTCTTACCAAGAAGCATTTCTTTTTACGTGATGACATATTGAGTGACACACTCTTCCAACATCTCCTTCAGTAGCAAAGCAAAAGTTCTCTTTGATTTGACATTGGATTGTGACAGCTGTCGCAAAGGTTACTGTCAGTAGTTTCAACAATCTCTTTGGAATTCACTCTTCAATCTGGACTTGAACAATCACTTTAGTTTGGCTCATCAAAGTGGTTACTGCTGTCATTCTCCTGAAATGTTCTCCGTTTGCGCTGCAGTTTCTGGATAAAAACAGCATCTTCAAACCTGCTGTCTCCTGTTCTGAGACAAACTTTCAATCAGCGCGGCAGACATCTTGACATATTACTGCTGACTGTTTATTCATGTATGTTAAAACCAATCTCCAGCCTGCTGAATCTGCTTATGTAACATTTTGGAGTTGACAGGGACCTGTTTGCTACTTAGACGCCAATATTCCCCAGGAAGCTTTCCGTTTCAGATTTTGTGGCTTTGCAGTTACAGGTGACAGCCAATTATTATAACGTCTCACCAAGAGATTGTTACATTCCTGTGCCCAACTCATTTGTTTGCATGCAAAGCAATTCAGCTCTTGTTTTATTCCTCAGTTGGATTGCATGTTCAGCTGCCTCCCTGTTGGAGAATAAACGAACGGTACAAGCTTTACAAATCTGAAACTGTTACATTTTGGTCTGAGATATGGGCCCCACAGTGCCTTTTACTGGCCCGCTCTCAAACATCATACAGCAAAATGAATCTGTTATTTCTGTGTGGGGGAGGCCAATCTGATGGCCGGAGGGATCAGAAATGCTGTTTGTTGTTCCCTTAATAAAGTGTTAATATCTCTGTCCTCCCCACTGTGTTATCAGCACTTCACTGTGACTCTGCACCAAACTACATCACATCTCAGCCATCTGCAGCCATGGAAATATTATTTCCTGCTGGTAATGTCTGTACCTTATGGACCCGTTATTGCAGCAGAATTAATCAAGTAGCCAAATGGATTATTAAATAAATGCTGATTAATATTAAATGCATTATTGTAGTATTACTGAGATTTAGACGATCACACACCAGTTAACACACCATTGATTTATTTTAGTAGTGTTTTTGCTGTTGTTTATAGAATCGTACTTGCACAATTAAAAATATGATGCATCAATTCATATTTTTAAACAGGGTCACTCCAGCCTTTAGTATTGCACTTCCATAAAATAGGAAAAAGTCCAAATATGTGCTGCAAAGGCCAAGATATCCTGACTTTTAGCTAGACTGTACATCAAGAGCATGTTACAACAGGGTTTCATTCAACCCTTCCTGTCTGGTAGACACCACCACATCTTTTTATCTAGGGCACAAGGTTTGTGTTCAGATTGATCTTGATCTGAAAAATCTGTGGTTTAAAAGTTTGTCCTGAAAATGTAAAGTGCTCTGTAGTATAAAGTTGTGTACCTCAAACTCCTCTGCGATCTTGGGTCCATCCAGGAACAGCCTGGTGCTGAGACAGTCCACTGGACCAAAGTTAGCTGGACGGAGAGAGACATGATTATATTCCTTGATGATGACCAAGAACCAAAACTCTACAATCTGAATGTGTCGGTTAGTAAGTCCATAAACTCCATTGTCTGGCATTTAACTTTCATACACAATGGGTACTGTGTGTGTAAAGTAATACAAGTATCAAACAACCACTGGAGAAATGAGGGGTTGCCAGTTTAAATAGGGGGTAGTTTAAGCGAGTATTTGGACTCAGGAATGGACTTAAGATCAGGTTCAGGGGTGTGCTCAGTTTTAAACTGAAGTAGTGAAGAAACGGCTGCACACTAATTAAAGCTCCTCACAAACATTTCCTCACAGCAACTATAAAGCTGGTGTTAATCCAGGCAGCTGCATGTTACTGTAGCTGCCTTCAACAACTTCCAGTTGAAACATTTGACACGTCTAGAAGGCATCCTAATAAACCCTCTCCTGCTACATGCTGCTGCTGACTGCCTGCACTCCTACCTGCTAGCACCACTCCTTGCTGTTCTGGTTGCTTATTTGTGTATTATGGAAATTCACCATCTGAATGACAGGTGATCTGGTGTTGTTACTGCACTCCCTCCTGAACTGCCAAATACAACCATTAAAAACGTTTCCACCAAAGGGCTGAATGTTATAATGAGTGTGCCTGAGTTAAGGTTGGCTGCTAATTTCAAGCCCCAGTAATAATACAAATGAGAATGAGAGAGTGTGTGAGAGAACAACAGCAAATGCCACAGACCCAGACAATATATTAGATCCCGTTTGATCACATGCACATAATTAAAAATTGAAATAATACAATTTGTTGATGTCCTATTCCTATATCTATTATAATTGTCTAAATCCAATTATCAGTCTGCCCACTCACCAGTAAATTCCTTGAACTCCTGGAACACCTTGGGGTACATGGCTGCTGACATCACATCCTCTGGGGTAATTTCTTCACCATGGGCAGCTCGAATCCCCTCCTCCAGGGCCTTGAAGTCCATGGGTGGCAGAGAGGCACCAGGGCGGCCCTCGATACGGTTAAGGGACTTCAGCACCTGGGATGGGTGGTTCAAAGAGGAGGAAGTGAGGAGGAGAGGAAACAAGGGAAGAGTAGAGGAAAGGTGTGAGGGTGTACAGAAGAGAGAAAGGGGAAACAAACAGATTACTTAACGTTTTTACCCTAAGTTATACATATATAGTCTTTCTGAATGTTTTCCCACTCGTAATATCCCCATGGGACTCCGAAGCATAAAGTGCTGGAAAACCTTCACATTGTACTTCACAACTATACGTCTGGATAAAAGCTGCACCCTGACAAAGAACTAAAGCGACTGAGAAACTTTGGGTGAGAGGGGGAGGAAGATAGAGATACATGGGGAGCCGTTTTGAGGGATGGAGAAAGAGGAAAGAAGCACTTGTATCAGAATATAAAACTTAACTGAAGTTAGTTTTTAATTTGCATAAAAGTACCACCGCTGTTGTGTTAATATCTGCAGTGATATCCACTTCACTTCCATCTCTCCCACTCTCTCAATTCATCTTTTTCTCTCCAGTCAAGTACCATCAGCCTTTCACAGATGACTGCAGTGTTGCCGCATATGTGACACATCATCCGTGTTCCTTCTTAGAAATAGTAGAGGAGGAAGACGGACAAGAAGAAAGACAGAAGGAAAGAGGATGTTGTGGAAAGTGGAGGCTGCCGTAAGACTAATGATATGACATTTTATCTGCCCACACAGTGGTTGGTACCTGACACAACTTGTAGAGACAATCGATCTGAGGCTACTAATAATGTCTGGAGAAGAGATTATGTCAAGACACAGGCGTTTCGCCTAAAGGCCGCTGTTTTGTTTTTCTTTGCACAGATTTCCTCAGCTCTTGATGACACAAATGGGAGGGAGGGCAGTTGCAGAAATCAACATACAATTAGCCTATTTAGTCTGCTTCAGAGCTTCACAAAATGTTTCTTGGAAATCTACAAACAGAAGAAGCTAATAGCAAAGCTGTACGTGCCTATGTCTGTGTATGTGCGTACGCGTGTGTGTGAGTGTGTGTCTGTGTACCATCGTTTCAGTCAGGGTCAAATAATCATCGCCTAAGTGAACATCATAAGTACTGTATTGGTAATCTTTGTGTTTTCACTCATTTACAGCATAGCACTGTATCTATCACTTTAAACATTCAATCAATCGTCTGTCTCCTGTGTGCATACTGTGCACATATTCATGCTACGTTTGCCTGTGTGCGTGTGTGTGTTTACGTGTGTGTGTGTGTGTGTTACTGTATTCTAGCTGGTGTGTGTTTCATATCATCACTAGTTCTTGTGTATGTTATTGTGCCTCTCGGAAATCTCCAGACAAAAGGGCCCGGTGCAATGCTATTAGTCACAGAGCTAACAGTTTAAAGATAGCTGACTCATGTGTGCGAGAGAGAAAGACACTTCAAAGATGGCAGGCTCATTGGAGTCCCTGCTCATTAACATTGTGTCCTCTGAGGATTTCTAACAAATAAAATGCTTGATTGTTTAAGTGTGAGACATAGACAGCTAGTGACTGTGTGTGTGTGTGTGTGAGACAGTGTGTGCATGTGCATTAACAAATAAAGAAAATACAAACTCTTCCTTCAAGGTTATTTGCTCTTTCTCCCCATTTCTCTTAAAACCACTCTCTTTTTTACTGTCACCGATTTTCTTACCCTCATTTCGAGTGCGTTGCTCTGAGGGATGTACCGTATTTTTAACAATCTTATTTTGAGTTCATTCTCTTCCTGATGGGCTCCTTATTTTCTCCCTCTACACCCCATCTCCATTTCCTTACTCCCATCACCTCCATCCTTCTCTCCCTTGTCCATTCTCTCTATCCACCCACGCTGCAAATTAACTGTGCGTGATAGAGGTGAGAAGATAAGGAAAGGCCTTGATTACCACTTT